TGCTGGCTCCACTTCTGTAGTGGGAAAGTAATCCGAGATACTGGAGGAGCTGATGATCTGCTCTACTTGGGTGTAAATCCAGAAGAGCAGCTCTCTGCCTTTCCCAAAAGGAGGAATAAGGTTAGTGTATATTTCGTAATTAATATTTGCTGAGCACCTACTTCAAGGTTCCCATAGGGTATCAGTGGACTAAACCTGATGCAGAGCAGAGCTAGTGCAGCATGGTCACTTGTTGCTCCCACTAATCTGTTGTCTGTAACGCCTTAAGAGCACAAAGACAACGTGGCAGCAGGACCAGAATTTGGGATTCGAAGCTCAGAAATGTCCCGTTGGTGTCAGTGGAACAGCTGACCAAGGCAGGGCTCTGGTTTTTATGAGCAGCTTGTAGGTCTGCATACCCGAGCAGCCTTTCAGCATGGAGGGCTTGCTGCCCTGCCAGCAGATGTAAAAGTCGCTTCACGCAGCAGTGTGGAAGGGGATTTTGGTCCCTGCTGCTGAAGGGGGTGTTATGGCCATTGATCTCTTTGCATATGTGTGCAAACATCTTGCACTGTGGGAGCACAGCCTGGTCATGACATCCAGGTGAGATGCAAATAACCCCGATGCACATGATGACCCAGCTCTGCAACCCTTAGGAGTGTACTTGCATGCATAACTGAAACGTGTAGCTGCATCTTCAGGTCGCTGTGCTGTCAGAGGACAGCCCAGATGTACTGACTAAACTCCCATCCAGCTTCTGCTTTAAGCTGGCATTTGGTCCCTCTTGCCAATCCATCCCCCAGCTGTGGCCCCAGCACAAGGAAGAATTTAGAGATGATATGGAAGACACCTTACAGTGTTGGCAATGCAAGCAATGCACCGGACAAGTTGCTAATCCAAAGAAAACAGCAAAATTACCTTATTGTTGACCTGCAGCAATGCCCTGAGTGAAGAAGATCGTCAGATTATCTCAGCTGTCCCTACCTGCCTTGCTCTGGCAGGGGCCGTGAGAGCTGGTGTGTGTGTTGAGGGGTCCTGCTGCCCAGTGGGGAAACATGCCTCTGCAATCCCACATAGCCACCAACTCACCAAGCATGCTTAGAAGCCACATCAAGAGTGGGGTGTGGGGGTCTTCGTCCCTTTTGTGCTGTGGAGTCTTCCAGAGGAAAGGAGAAAAGTCAGCTACAGGAGGGTCATGTATACATGAGCTGGAGGAGCAATATAATCCCCCAGAAAGCTGAGCTGGGTACCTGCTGTGACAGATGGAGCTGCTCAGGAGTCAGATAGGAGAAGGAAGACTTTCTGCATGGCTCCTTGGGGCAAGAACCCAACTTTACATTGGCTTATTCATCCTCTTATAGTGCTGTGTCTCTTTGCTGATCATAAGGGCTATGTCTATGCTACCAGGTTGTGTGGACCAACAGAAGAGGGTCTGCAAAGTGGTGGGCACCATCCACTTTGCCATACTACATGGCATGTGTCCCCATGGGGTTACTGGGCTTCTGTCTTGCTTGCAGTGGGTTGAAGTGGGTTTAAGACACTTGCACACAAGTCCCCATCTGGTTAGATTCCCAATAAAAGGCTGATTATCCCACTGAGAGGAGGAATTATTTGGGGAAAAGAAGATTTCTGGAGGATTGATGCCAGCACTAAGATGGCAGGTGGAGACCACAAGGAAGGCAACAAAGGGCTGGCATGGTAAGGATGAGAGATCTGGTCTAAAAGAGCCTCTTGAGGTGAAGTCATGGTTGCTGTTTTAACTGCCCCCATTCCTTCCCCATCCTGTTCGCACAGAGCAGATGCCAGTGCAGGTCATGCCTGGTGGAAGGGAGGGTGCTGAGGGCACCGTGATGCTCTCCAGATCTCAGGGGAAGTGCTGCCTTCTCAGTCCCTGAAAACCCAGCTGTCCTGCCCCAGAGGCATGAGTCCTGCAGCCAGAGGATGAGGTGGTTACTCCAGGGCTTGCGTAAGGAAAGCAGACTATAATGGCTCTTTCTGCTGCCTTTCCCCACAAATAGCAGTGTTTTTCATCTCACGCCTACTCATTTAGCTTAAGCTTGCAAGTGGGTACTGGCTCCCAAGAAAGTTTAAGCATGTTTTTTTTGAACGAGGCTGGTTTAATGTTATTTCATTTTTTTTGAATTGTTGCTTGTAGCACATTAGCTTCTAGAACGTCACTGGGGTGCCAGGAGCTGTACAAGTATGACTGAGACACACTTCTGGCTATAAAGTACAGCAAAGAGACAGGAAGACAAGGGACACACTTAGGTGGAACATCACATCAGTGGTAGAGTGATGACCAGGCATTGAGTCTCACTTAAAATCATCTCCTAGCAATGGAATAGAAGATACCAATGCAATCCTGTGGGACTGGCCACGCTGGTCTGAGCCACTGGTCCATCTAGTCTGCATTGCTTCTCTGAAAACAATCGTGATTTTGGGCAGTACATGGTCAGTCAAGTTATCCTGCTAATGGGGAACAATTTCTTGAGCCCCACTAAGAGCAACCTGCACTGGACCTTCACAATCCCCCTTCAGGAGCAGCTCCCTGTCTCTGTGCTGGCCCCCACTTGCTGCAATTCTGTTCCAGATGGAATTTCTTATTTCTGAACAGGCAGCAGGGAAACAGCAGAGAAAGGCAAGTGTGACAGCATTTCCCCCTGTGGAGCAGCCTGCCTGCAAAGAGAAATCCTCTACCTCTGTAATCATGGATTTTACAATTGGAGAAATAAAGAAGTGGCTTGACACACCTGAGAAAACCCAGCAACCCTGGTCATACAGTCCCACCTACAGTGGGGAAAAACTCAAACCAAGTCCCATATGATACCCATCTCCTTCTCCCTGCCCTGCCAGCCTTGGCTGAGGGCAATGAAAGAGTTAAACAAGATGAGACAGACAAACAGATTAGGGGGGAGGGAGGATCCCAACCTGAGCCTGGCACCAGATGTACTGGAGCGCGTGCACCAAACATACACAGTATTTAATAATTCCTGAGAATTGCCATGGTAATGAAGCGCAGAGTCAGGTTGCTATGGTAACAGCCTTTTTTTTTAGGCAAGGAGGCATTACCCAGGTTGTAACCTCAATCCAGACTGAACACATTTCTGAGAGCCCAAAAAATAAAAAAGAAGTAAAATAAAATCAAATTAGGTAAGTAGCAGTTTCCTGTCTCTTGTCTGGCAGTTCTGGGCTTGTTCTGTAGGTAGGTGGAGGGAACCAGGTTGTTCCAGACACACATTGCTCTGGGAAGCCTGGGGAATGGCTGGAGTGAATCTCTGCAGGTCGGAAACCGAGCGCTGATGGGTGTGAGGGGCTGGACCCCTCTCATGGATGGGTCTGGGATGCTCTGTGACCACCTGGTTTCCCTGCCAGACCTCTAGCTTGACTTCAGGAGTGTCCTCAGCTGGCTAGCAGGAAGGACACATATGTCTTTTCAAGCGTATATGTACAAGAGAGTGGCCATGGGCAAGCCCTCATCCCAGTCGAGCTCACAGAAGGATGCTGTGAGCCCAGTTTGCAGCCTGCCTATGGTTACCTGCAGCCCAAGTGATGAAGGTCCCAAGGTGGTCTTCACAGAATCACAGAATCTTCGGGGTTGGAAGGGACCTCTGTGGGTCATCTAGTCCAACCCCCCTGCTGAAGCAGGGTCACCCACAGCAGGCTGCACAGGACCTTGTCCAGGTGGGTCTTGAATATCTCCAGAGAAGGAGGCTCCACAACCTCCCTGGGCAGCCTGGGCCAGGGCTC